TGCTCCATTGTGCTTCCTTCTATGATTTCTACCAGTCTCTATATCCTACCGGTACTGGTGCTTACCATCAGTCCCGCCCAGCCAGCGAGACCGGCTCTACTAGCTGAGAGGTATATATAATGCTTCCCCCATCTACCAGAGGTATTAGAGACTGCTGTTGGGCGGGAAACGTCCGTTAATTTGGCTCAGTGACCTCCTTTGGAGATATGAGGTTCTTTTACGTGCCGTAAAGCTACGACACGGGACCCACGGCTTAAAGTCCCTCCCGGAGGACTTGTTCCCTGAATTTTTCCGCCCTTAAAAATTCGACGACCTCCGCCGGGTATTTGAACCCGCGTACTACGAGTCATGAGGTGGGAACGTTACCTCTAGACTACGGAGGCCGCTAACTGATTATATATTAATCTTAATTTCGACCTTAGTTTGACCTTCAACTAGATACACAGTTATGTAAGATTTGACAGTCTCTTGCACCTGCTCTAGCTGGTTCGCTCGCAGATTTCTTATTGTCTTCTACCTTGAAGATGGAGGCGATACGTTCCTCCGAAACGTCGGTTAACACAATTCCTACACGGCGCCACATCTCATATCTTCATAGATACACAGTTAGTTACTTTTCTCCTGATGTGGAGAGATGAAGTACACGAAGCCACAAACCACGTGACAGGGCTCTTCATAGCCAACGCAGTGCTCCTCTCCCTTGTTTCAGTACTGTACAAGTACCCTCAGCGCATGCGCATATTATCATTTTCACCACGCTGAATGTTAATCCTAATGTTATCGACGTGTATTGGAATGGATAACGCCCGGCCGCAGCTGGTCCTCCCCACGGATCCTATGATTCCTGTCAGCAACGTAACGGATCCTGCCGACCTCACTGGTGCAGTTCAATGGTTGCGTGTCCAGCTAGCCGACGGCTGCCCGTCATGTAAACTGTTACAATTGTAAGCGCCAATATAAGCAACAGTAATACCAGCTGCCGCTGCTTCCGCAATCGTGTGCGATATATCGATATTCACGCGTCGATAATCGTTTCTGTACAGGGGCGTGAAGCGTGGTAGTGGCCACTGTCTGTCAGGCCATCCTTCTTTCTATTTTTCTGTGCAACTCTCTAAGAAAGTCGACGGAAAACTGACAGAGGAAAAGGGGTATCTCATGACAAGAAGTGAGAAAGTGAATCTTGCTGAGTGAGAAAGATCATTAGATATTTCGTCTACTATGTGCTCCTTACTTCTGTGTAAATCTGCTTTTTCTTAAATAAGTTTATCGTTAAACAGTTCCGCCCATCTATCAACCTTATTTACAGCCTCACAGTTTCTATTCCATAGCGCACACTGTATATTTATTTTGGTTATAAATAGTGCCATTATCAGGGAGAATGTTTATCTATCTATCTATCTATCTATCTATCTATCTATCTATCTNAACTGACAGAGGAAAAGGGGTATCTCATGACAAGAAGTGAGAAAGTGAATCTTGCTGAGTGAGAAAGATCATTAGATATTTCGTCTACTATGTGCTCCTTACTTCTGTGTAAATCTGCTTTTTCTTAAATAAGTTTATCGTTAAACAGTTCCGCCCATCTATCAACCTTATTTACAGCCTCACAGTTTCTATTCCGTAGCGCACACTGTATATTTATTTTGGTTATAAATAGTGTCATTATCAGGGAGAATGTTTATCTATCTATCTCTCTATCTATCTATCTATCTATCTATCTGTCTATCTGTTTCTCTATCTACTAGTGATCTCAAATTTACGACGCTGCCAGTATCTAGACCAGTAATCTCAAATTTACGACGCTGTCAGTATCTAGACCAGTGATCTCAAATTTTAGACGATATCAGTGTCTAAATCAGTCTTCTCAACATTTTAAACGCAAATGACCTCCTTTCAGTTAACATAAAATCTCAGTTCCCCCCGTGCCATTGCATTGTAAAATTCGTGATTTCCAGAGTGCGAGTGTGGAATCTCAATTTCTCACGCTTAGGATGAAAATATTACTAAGTCAAAGGTCTCTCGCGTCTCTACTGCGGGGGTGGGGGGCGCCCCACCGGTTGATAACCACTGATCAAATCTATATAGAGCGTCAAATTATTTGTGAATTGGAAGGAAGCAGTACCTATCCAACATTTTGGTGGAGGGACTAAGGAATACCATGACAACATTCAGACGGGATGCCCTGTGTTCCAGTCGAGATTGGAAAAGAGGGCCTCCAAAGTAGAAGTCTACGGCATTATCTGATATATCAACCAGTTAGGTTGTCCCTCGGTGGAAATTTATTGCGATATGACGTCTGAAAGCCGGAATAGCGGAGCCAGAGCGGAAGTCCATTGTTAGCCAACGATTCGTCAAACACATGTTCCTGCAGCAATGAACAAGTCCATTGTTAGCCAACGCTTCGGTAAGCACGACAGACACTTTGCATGGTTACCGGTAGCCTATATAACGAGCCGTGCAGAGAAGAAAAATTCAGTCATAAGGGAGTCGTAGTTCAAGGCAATCGCAGTAGAAACGGGTACCAAGAACTAATTCAGTCATTCTTCGTTCGCCAGTAGTCCTTAGTGATTCGTACGGGAATTCGAAAGAGCGTCGCAAGAGAGCTCAGAGTTCAGCAGTTGAGTGTTCAGCTGTGGAGTGTTACCCAGCGGACAGCGGAAACTGAAGAAGTGACCGACACGTAAATCAGAACCAAGTCAGTCACGCAGAAGAGAAGGCACTCGTAGTGCAGCAAGGAATGGAGCGAGGCTTAGACAGCCGCTGATTGTGAGCTGTTGTAATTGGTTGTAATTGTGAAGAAGTGCCAATAAACACAGTCATCCAATCCAGAACTTGTCATTATTCGTCACGGAATCCCGGACACGTGAGAATATGATTAGCAACTGATACAATGTCGCTAAACACCCATCTACGAGCCCTCTAAAATGAATCAAACATAACCGGAAACCACATTTTAAAAGCGTGACCATGTCACCTCAGTGTGCGGATAGCTGTGTTGCACGATTCTGAAATTATGTTTAGCATGTAAGACGAGACACCGTGACGTCACTCCGCACAAAACACTGTGTTTCTGCAGTTCGCTACAGCAGCGTTTCCTTCCCACAGAACTCGAAACTCTTTCCGCCAAATTAATCTTTAAAGTTACTTACACTACACCCTCTAACATTACAGGTAGGGCCGCGCCATAGCTCAAGTGGTTAGTCGCTGGCTTCCCACCGCGGCGAGCCGGGTTCGATCCCGGGTCTGGTCAATTGGGATTTGTGATGGAGAAAGAGATGCTGGGGCAGGTTTTCTTCGAGTACTTCGGTTTCTCCTGCCAATCTTCATTCCACCAATTGCTTCACAATCACCCTCACCTACTATCATCTGGGGCTGGTACAATAGGCCAGAAGTGGCCGCAGTACAAGGGACTTAGTCCCACCCCACTAGCATTAAAAACATTACAGGTTTCTGGATTTTGTCCACAGAGTTCATTTATGTGTTTCGCATGATACTCTAAGAATATACAGCGATGGTTTCTGATTGTGACTACGATAAGTATATGTCGGCTTTTCGTTGTTAGAATTCAGGGCAAAATCATGACAAAAAAGACAGCTAACAGACGCTCTGAAAATGTGGCAGAATTCAAATGTTTGGGAACGATAGTAACAAATCAAAACCTGATTCAGGAGGAAATTAAGAGGATACTGAACTCGGGTAATGCTTGCTACCATTCAGTCCAGAACCTTTTGTCTTTTCTTCTCCTGCATAATAACGTAAACATTATAACATACAAAACTATAGTTTTTCCTGTGGTTCTGTATTGGTGTGAAACTTGTTCTCTGACATCAAGGGAGGAACCTAGACTGAGGGTGTTTGACAGGTTGCTTGACCAAAGAGGGATGAAATGACGGGAGGCTGGAGAAAACTGCATAGTGAGGAGTTTCATGCCTTTACTCTTCGCAGAATATAATTAGAATGATGAAGGACGATGAGAGGTACAGGGCATGTAGAACGCATGGGGCGAAAAGGAGTGCATGTAGAATTTTAATGGGAAAACCACAAGGAAAGGGAACTCTAGGAAGACCTAAATGTAGGTAGGTGTATAATATTAACTGGACATTAGAGAAATAGGATTGGGTTGTATGGACTGGATCGACCTGGCTCAGGATAGCGACCAGAGAATGGCTCTTGTGAACACGGTAATTAACTTTAGGGCTCCATGAAAATTAGGGATATTTTTGAGTGGCTGAGAGAGTGGCGGCTTCCCAAGAAGGGCTCAGCTCAATGGAATTAGTTACGATGGTTGTATGCTGGCCCCTCACCTCGGAGATCCGGGTGAAACCGTGTGGGATATGTGGTGGCAGAAATGGAGCTCCTTTTCGCTTTTCCCCTGTTAACCATCATCCCACCATTGTTCCACACTTATTTATCAGCGCCCCTTGAGGTGTCCAGTAGCCCTGATCAGGCAGCACATTATCACATCCTGGGGCTCTGAGCTGGGGGCTTCATCTCAGACACATCATTTGACTGGTTACAGAGCGAGGAGACGTCTGCTTTTCTATCGTTATGAATGTTGGCAGCCAGAGTTGGTTGTAGTTAAGAATAGGGTCAGAAGATGGCACTTTGCAGTGACCACTTTTCTTGGAAAGGTCGATATCCATTCCCGAAGTAGCAGTATCAGTTACAGTGTTCTGTTATTCCACGCATGTCATGACACTGCTTCAAATTTTTGACATATTTCAACTTCATCACTTGCAAACTCAGTGACATAAAATTTCCATCAAATATTGTAAGTTATTAGGTGCTCTGTCCCACATATTCAGTACAAAATAATTATATCCAGTACTTAAAATGCTTGGCTCACTCTTCAACCCTGAAGATGGAAGCGACCAAATGTGCAGAAATACAAATCTCACAAACACACACATATCTATGAAGATTACTGTGTTCTAGCATATGACGCAGTGTAGTCTGGTAGAAGTTTTCGGACGTTTCCCGGGAACTCAAATCTCACTTACTTGATCAGCACGAAGGAGAGGCGTCTGGAAGGCCGTGGGTCGATAAGAGTTTCTCAGTTCAGGGCGGGAGTGCAGATCCCCGAGCAAAAGTTCGTAACGCGGGTGGCGGTTGTCTGGGGGCCCCTTCGGCCTCCTCTGAACTCGCACTAACTGAAGTTCATGAAATACAGCGTGCAGAGCTGAAAGGCAGTCCATATCTTCAGTGACCATCATCCTAAGTTGATGTCGACCTGGGGACACACACGCACACACGTACAGTTATATGAGGCCCTCCTGGCTTCAGGGGCACAAAATTCAGGCACATCCACGATAAATTAGCACAGAGTGTCTTAGGAAAAGAATAAGTAGAGGTAGCCAGTGTCGTTTTGTGAGATTTGAGGTAATATCGGCTCTGACTGCAAAGGGTACCAACTTCCTGCATGATGCGCCGTGTATATGAACAGGAAGTACTTAAAAATTGCACAAAATGGTTAAAAATGCACCTATCATTCGTTCTTTAATCATGAAATCTCTAAATATTTGAATTCAATTCACTAACCAGGTCAAATTTATTTCACTTTTAATTTTAACTAAATCTGCGCGTGATCTTATGGAAGTTCGTACCCTCGTATAATAAAGCAGACGAGAAACACGTAAAAATGATACCATGAGTTTCGAAATATTTATACATATAATTTCAGATTTAATGAATAAGGTTACAAATTACATTTACATTCAGGAGAAATTAATAACAATGCATTGAAACTTTGTCTTTTACTCGATTTTCAAGCTATTCACTGCAGAAGTGCGGTAACGTTGCAGACATTTATGATGTAGCAAGTTTTTTCTCCTATGTACTTTTAGTCACTATTATTCCTTTCCAACAATAAATTGCTTTTTCCATCGTGATGCTTGAAAAACACAATGTAACAGAGAGAAATGTAGCTACGATTAGTCTACAACTGTACAAAAGCGTCAACTAAAGCCTCAGTTATGGCGTTGGTCCGCTCATGTGGGACCACTGAACTGCACAAGGCAGCCAACTTACGGAAAATTACAGTGTTGTCAAGTTTAATTCTTCTCAAAGAATATTTCGATAATCGAAATGAATAAAATAAAATAAATAATTTTTATAAATATCATTATCATCATCATCATCATCAGTAATCTGTCAAGACGACAGGTCCACAGTCTCTTCCAAAACAATTCCTCCACTTAATGCGATCTAGAGCTTTCTCCTTCAAATGACAGTATCCTCTTCTGTCCCCAAGGTCATCCAGCATCTTCTTACGTCTTCTTCCTCGTCTTCTTGTCACTTCTATCCGCCCATCTATCTTTCCTTCGATAGCTTCTTTTAGAAGGCAGTTTCTGCGTAAAACATGACCAATCCAATTAGCCTTCCGTTTTCTTATTTCATGTAGGATATTCCTCTGCTCACTGACTCTAATTAACACTTCTTCATTTCTCACATAATCGGTCCAACTGATCTTCTCCATTCTTATAAATATAATAAATAAGAATCATATTTATATTAGAACGCGATATATTACTTTGTATAATAATAATTATAGTTTAAATATAACATATTTTGTTTTGTCACGTTCGAGTCATAGAGTATTCACTCCCAGAATTTTATTATAATGAGTGACATAAATGGTAAATGTAGCAAAAGTAATGAAATAAATAAACATTTCCAAATTAAAATTTAGGACTCTTATCACTTACGTCGCTTCTGACTTTATTTAAGACATGCAAAGTTCAGGTATTCCTTCAATTAGAATTTAAGTTACTTTAGTCTAAGCTTATATCTGCTATACATCCCTAACGACAATTTGGAGGAAAGTTCTGACTTCGCCTTCGGATTAGAGAAGTAAGTCAGGCAGCAATCGCCTAGTTAAAAGCAAGCATCAAACAGAAACCGCGTAGAGATCATACAAAGGCCCAGAACTATAGTGCGGCCGGACAAAGTATTCCCACTCCTTCTACCCCCTCCCTGCGCTCCTCTCACTCAACACCTATTCTACCATGCGTATTGGCTGGATTACTCGTTCTAGACTTGCGTTAGCCGAGGAGCGCCAACACGCAGGCTCGGATGGGAGGGTGGGCGAACGGGCCCTCCCCTCCTAACAACTTCACCACCCGTGATGATTCTGTGGCCGTCGTAACTATATTTACAATTTTCAAACCGCAAGCACCTGTACTTTCTGCAAGCCAAGCTTACTCTTTGACTCTTCCTTCGGTGAACTTTACCTGTTATCACATTCTTATGTGTTTTATAATTCGCATGTGTAAAAGTAGGGTAAAAAAGTAAAGCTATGCTTATAGCAGGCCATGGAGGCCCACAGGTTTGTGAGACGTCGAGGTTCCCACAGTTTCTAGACAATCGGCTCACACATTGAGGCGAGGTTGTCAGTCTCATGCGTCGGCCACCCTTTACTCCCGGGATGATTGCTGGTACTCATTTCTGTTGGATGACGAGTCAACTTCAGGGCTATAGGGCGACTGGAAGGATTAGGTCAATTGAAAAATCCAATGGCGTCATCGGGAATTGAACTCGCTACCTTCCAGCTCGTAGCATAGCGCCTCAAACAACTACGCTATTGAGTGCCCGAATTCTTATGTATAGAATTCAAAATATGTACTGGTCAAAGACCACGACTAAGGTTTCTGGTAAGTGACAGACCTGCCCTCTCCTCAGACATGACGTCCCAGGACTAGAAAACATAACTAGGAAAAGTTGTGAGCAATTTAGTCAGAGGCCCGAAATTTGGCTCGATACCAAGAAAAACAAGAAGCTCTGGGAAGAACTAATCCCTTATTTTGCTTTGATACGACATGAATGACAGAAAAGAAAAAAAGAAAAAAATTAGGGGGACACACAGACAACAAGGTTATCTCATAAGTTTCATGTATTAGGCGGGAATACACAGATAGCAAGGCGATCTCATAAGCCTCCTCTAATTTTTCTCAAAATAAGGGAGTCAGGCTAATGACTGTTAGTCGCAACGTGACTCTGACTATGTGGCGGTGAGATGTCAGACGCTCACCCAGGGCGCTGGCGGACGCTGCGTTCCTCCGCTGATAGCTGCTACTGCCTGTGGGCGGTTGGTTGTTACTGGGAGCCAGTTCCTCCGGGAGACTGAGAACCACGTAGTCCCTGTAGGGTTTCCAGCGCCGTCGCACCTGGCCAGGACACGTGGTGTTGACACGGGCCGCCAGTTCTTCAGCTACTTCAGCACTGTGAGCTGTGGCTGTGACCCGCGTCAATGTGTACTCAGCTTCTGTAGCGCCGGGAGTCACCCAGGACCGCCCCGTCAGCCGATATCGTCCCCTTGCCGTCAGCGTGTAGAGCGCCAGGGTGCAGGACTCGTCTCCGTAGTGGAACTGTAGCAGACGGAACGTGTGGTTCCTCATGAACATGTAGTTCCTCATGACGAACTCCGGGCCAGGCCGCACCTCACACCTTGAACACAAGAACAGAGGTTCACTGAGATGCACAAAGCGTCGGTCTGAACGCTCAACCGAACGCGGGCATTCCAGCCTGTAGCCCGTCGCTATCCCGTGTATTACACCGTAACATATTTTTCTGTTGAGGCAAAATGTGTCCCTGGTCTCCCTTCTCTTGTGCACCCCTGCCGATATAGAAAACAAATTCGACCACAGTCAGTGGAGGAGAGCTGTGGTACCATCACTGAAGGCATTATCCATAAGTTGGAAGCCTCTTCCTGTTATGTCACTGTTTTGGGGTTGTTTCGGGGTAAACTGTGCCTACGTTACATGTGCCTGGTGGGGTAAATTGGAAAGGGGAGAGACTCTGTATGCTCGACACTGTTTATGTGTGGATGAGAATGGGGTGGGGTTGGGGGGGTTACGATCCCTCGAATGCTTAACTAAATAACCCCTAAAAGCTTTTGGGTGATTCGCCCTCCGGAAAAGATACAAGCTGCCAGAGTTTAGTTCTACAGCGCGTTAATATAAATTGTGGTCAAAGAGTCATTCCGATGAGTACCTCCATCTGGGTTGTGACGCCGTCTAGTCTGATTTCATCACCGCTTAGGAGGAACGTCTTGCCTCTATAAGAATGAAGAACATAGCTGTGATTACTTTTGTTTCTTGGCTTACATTTCAACACCGAAGATAGATGCAGTACGTTTCTCCGAAACGTCAGTGAATTACGATCAAACTACAGGAAGTCACAACCCAGAAGATACAGAAGTTTTCTTCTTCATAATGACGGCAGTCAGAAACTGAAATCTCACGAAGAACAATTCAGTCTCCAAACACTGTCTTCTGGGATAAATTTCTGCAACCAACTTCAGGTACCGAAACATTGGTAACGATTTACCAGACTACACGGTGTCGCATTCAAGAAGACATATTTACTCATTGCCATGGTAATATCAGATTTTGTATCCTAAATTCGGTTTGTTTAGTAGAAGCTTAGAAGAGAACATTGAGAACATTGCTCCGTACTGTGGCCTTCCTGGGTTATGAAAACGTGAGCTCTGCTAGGTGGGTTTAAATATTTCCAGAAACATGCTGCTTTTATCTTAGAGTCCCGGAAGTGGAAAGTGTGTGTGTTGTGTCACAAAATGGTTCTGTCCTGCACTTACGTGAAATTATATAATTCATTCATTTCTTAACTACTCTAGATAACATTGCAATTAACGAAACTGCAGTCCAGTAACAATCAGTCATGAAGAGCAGGTCTTCTGGGTTGTATCCCCGTGTACTTCTGAGGAAGGAAGACGTTTTGGAGGGAACATATCCCCTCCATGTTCTAGTCATGTATAGAAATGAGCAGAAGCAACTCTACCCTCTTAACTGTTGGTACGATTCTCTTATGTACGAAAAAACCTGTACCTAATTCCTGATTTTCATTCCCCTTTCCATAGAAAAATGTATAGTCTCCTGGTGGTGCGCTGCCACCTCCATCCCATCTGACCTCCTGTACTCCCGCTAAATCTAACTTATATTTTTAGATTTCTTCCGCCACTGCCCTGAGCGAACCTACCTTATGCGGTCTTCTTACATTCCATTTGCCAGCTCTCATGTTCATTTCATTAGCTTAGGTCGTTTATCTAAAGGATCCGCCCAGTTCCCAGGCCCTTTGTGACATTTCGTAACAAGGCTGTTTTATGGTGAGGAGTTGTTAGCTCCACGACCAACTCCCAAGCTGAAGCCACCCCTTGTCGGCTGTTAGAGACTGTTTATTTGATATATTTGCAGCTACCCTCCATATCTGGAGGCCGTCTACTCCATCCACAACCTGAGGACGCGCCATGCCGTTATAAAGAATTCAAATTATGAAGCTCCTCATTATGCAGTTTCATTCTCTTAAATTCTCTCACTTAGGTCAAGATATTATCTTCTGTATCCTGTTCCCAGATTCTATCCGGTTGTGTTCTTTACACAAAAACTTCGTGTCTGCTCGCTGGTTCGCAGGTTTCCCATATTCGTATATTGTGTTTAGTTGATTTCTCTCGTTACCGCTAGATGGAGTATGTGTCTTTTCTAAGTCGGCGATCCTCTTTGTGTCGAACAAATTCAACACGGCTCGTAATCTAGGTTAAGATCGTTACAGTGCTTTAAAATATATTCTTTATCTGGTTATTTGCTTACCTACATACTTACTTCTTGGCTTTACACTTACAGAGTTGTAAGGTTACAGACCATCGGTAACCATGCCCTATTTCGTGACACACGTCATGTTCTTACTGCAGGTCATCTATTGACAAGTGATAAAACTACTGTGCAGTACACACCTATAGTCCATTCGCGGAGGCGAGAGTCCTCGTAAACAAATGCACGCGGTATCTCCTTCGCTCTTTGAATGAAATCATGCAGCGATCACGTGATGGGTGTATCGTTACAGGGGCGTCCAAAGTTCACTCTTCAATCTGAATGCAGATTAAAGTGCGTTCGAATGCAGTGAGTAGACTGAAGTAACTGCGCGCTTTGCCCACTCCTTGCTGTCAGCTGTGATGACGCGGGGCTTGCTTTGTTTACGCTAACTGTCTCGTATCCGCGAATGGACTGTAAGCTGATAGCGAAATACGATAGCTTCTTGTGTATCATTACATGACACCGTTAATAATTATAGCGTCGAATGTTAGGATAATAAATGAATAATGATTAGAAGGAACTGGTTGTAGCCTAATCGAGATACCATTCCTGCACTTATGTGTATAGACTGAGGAAAACCACGAAAACTTCTCTCAGGAATGCCGATATCCCTGCCGAGACATGAACCGAGCACATCCTAATACGTGTCTAGAGAGTTACCGCTATGTTTACCTACTTCGTGCAATATGGAGGACTATTTCACGAAATTGTAAAGGTTTACGCTACAAGCACGTCTTTCTATTTCTAAAGTAGAACCAATTCCTTCACAAGAATTCTGAAAGTGTTACGAGTTCTGTTTGTTCCCTGTTCTTCACATTTGTCTGCCATATTTGTTTTGTAACCTCAAGTGCAGTAAGAAGAACTGGAGAGATAAGACATTTAGGAACGACGATAACAAATCAAAACCTGATTCAAAATGAAATTAAGAGGAGAATGAACTCGGGTAATGCTTCCTACCATTCAATCCAGAACCTTTGTCCTCTCGTTTGCTGTCTAAAAACATAAAAATCATAATATATATAAATATAATTTTGCCTGTGGTTCTGTATGGGTGTGAAACTTCGTCTTTGATATTAACGGAGACATATAGAGTAAGTGTGTTTGAGGATAGGGTGCTGAGGAGAATATTTGGACCGAAGATAGATGAAGTGACTGAGATTGGAGAAAACTGCATAATGAGATGGGCCGGACATGTAGAACGAATGGATGAGGAGAGGAATGCATGTAGAATATTTGTGGGATAAGCCAGAAGGAAAGAGACTACTCGGCAGGCAAACACGTAGGTGGGTGGTCAATATTAAAATGAATCTTAGAGAGATATGATGAGATGGTATAGATTGGAATCATCTGGCTCAGGATATGGACTAGTGGAGGACTCTTGTGAACATAGTAATGAATGAACCTTCGGGTTCCATAACATGCTGGGAACTTCCTGAGAAAATGCACAACTAGCGGTGTCTCAAGAAGGGCTCGCCTCCATAAAGTCAGTTTGCTGTGGGAGGAAAGCACCGTGGCCTATTGCAAAAAATATGCTTTCATACTCCCTACAAATAAAAGCTCGTATAAAAGGTTCGAGCAGTTCACGTCCCGTCCGAGATTCGAACAGAATACTTCTAGAAAACAAGTCACACAGGCTAATGCTTCTCTGTCCTGTTGCGTGGTACTGTGTTTATTTTTAATTAATGTAGCGTGTAGAACCGTTGCTATGCGACGACTGCGAGATAGGGGGATATACTAGAGACGTTTCTAGGCAACGGCTCGTTAAACACCTTCCCGCAGCAACGAATCGACGTGCAACAATGGGGGAACTGTTGGAAACGGGGTGTTTCTATGTGGTCCGTGTCGAGGAGTTATCTTGAAGACAACTGGGGCGACCCGGTCAGTTCTGTACGAGAGTCATACTTGAATACTTCAGTGCGGAAGCAGAGGAATAGCCACTGTTGGAGCCGTTACCATAGAAACGCCTAGTAACAGACTGAGAACACTACAATGTGTGCTCCAGTGAACTGTAAAGTGTGGAAATAGCGACAGTGTTAAAGTTATTTGTAGCTACGACCTGTAAGTGGTCAGTAAATCCATTCACCAATCGAAACCCCGTCTATAGTCACACACGTACTACGCGATATTAATTTAACGAATAATTTAGACTACACAGCGCGAATTATTTTATAGTGAACGGTGAAAATGTCGAGGGAAGTGGTCGTGACCTAATTTGTGGTATTATCCAGGCCGAGGGGGCCGAGGGGAAAAGGAGAAAAATGAAGAGCTACAGTCTGGGCCCAGGCCAAAACTGGGGCCCCTCGAATAAGAGGCAGAGTCCTACCCAGTCAGCCGAAACCTTTAGTTCGTGCTACTTGTAACTGAATTCTCTTCACCTGCAGACACATGAAGACAAGGGAGAAAGTGGGAAGCGAGGTAGCTCAGTCGATATAGGAACTATTCATGATATTATATTTGAGCACCCTGTTGCATTCATGTTATTCTAATGCAACTTTAAATGTTCAGAATTTCTCTATAATTGAAATGACATTAAAATAATGTCAACTGATACATGTTTCGGCTTTACTTGGTCATCTTCAGGCAGTTTTTCACGTTTCGGAAACAGTGGCACAGCATTAGATCGTTAGTCGATGTATTTCCATGCTGTTGCATAGTTCACACTAAAATGTGGTTGTCTGAGAACGAAACTCTCTCTCTCTCTCCTTTCCACGCTATTTTCCTTTGGCGGGGTCCGTGTTTGTGTCCCCTTCGCATGTACGTTCTCACTAGTTGGGCGTATATCCCTTGTTAATGAGTGAGTGATGGGGACCATCCTATTGGCTAGATGGCAGAGGAACA